GGACTATTTATTCTTCAACCTGGCTTACCAGCATTTCTTGTTCCTAAGGAGACTAAATATAGTCCATCTGTCTCCCCAGATTCTGGTGAACTTTTAATACTGCACCATTAAGAACATCCATACCAACTACATCTAAGTATGGCTTAGCAACTGCTCTGTCTCAGACAGAAAAGCCCTGCAGAGGGTGGTGAGAACTGCCCAGTGCATCACTGCTTCCCACCATTGAGGCTGTCCAGAGCAAGTGGTGTCTGCGAAGGGCACGCAGCATCGTCAGACATAGACGTCAGACATAGACCATTCCCCGGGCCCCCATGCACCTTCCTCCTGTACATTTTCACTGTTTCACTGGCTGCTAGCACATCAACACTACCATCTACACTATATGTTTTCACATAGCCATACATGTTCCTACCACTGTCCTTACTGTATACATCTGACCTATTGCATATTTATTGTACTGTCTATACTGTATATATCTATCTATAGTGTATTCATACCATACCTGCAGCTGTTTATTCTGTACTGTTTATCTGCACTTTATATTGTCCTTACTGTAACTGCTGTCTAGCGTACTCATATCACACTGTTCATACAGCCAGTACAGTTCATACTGTATACATCTTAGTATATTCATATCTACCCCTTTTCAAGTTCAGCAGTCAATATTAATTATGTTGGTGCTTGGATTTTGCAGTCCTAAACGAAATTTGCACTTCACTTAATCAGCTTACCACAAACCAACCAACACAAAGTGAACCAGGCAAATGACCTGCTTTGCCCAGATCCAGCCTCGCCAGTCATGAGATGAAGACCATTAGATAGTCAAGGTTCCATCCATGATAAACACCTGGCTTGTTTGGCAAAATGTGTGAATCTTAACTCAGAGGCATACTTATCTACATGTTAAAAGTAAAATGTCCTGTCTTGATTTAGTGGAAAAGAAAATCAAGACAATAACCTGACTCCACCTGAAAGCCCCACAGCCACATGCTGCTGAGCACTATGTTAGCGCTTACAGTTTACAGCTAGTAATTTCAAAGCTAGAACATCACCTTACCAGCTCTCCTTTAATCTTTTGAACTCTTTCATAATCTGCTTCATCAGAAATGTAGGTCTCTATAGGTGCTAGGTGCTGAGAGTGTAGATTTCTTTGCTGCAAGTTATTCTACCAGAAGAAAGAATGAGAGAAAGAAGGCATGTTTGCAGCAAGAAGACTACATACTGTACATCTGGAAGTCTCATCAGCTCTCCCCCTTAGCCAGTCTGTCTGCTGCACTCCTTCCCTCACACCATCAAACCTCCTTCTCACTGCTTTATTTCTCTCTTCTTTTCAGCCACGTCTACTCTCTGTCTCTCTATGTGTGGGACTGGCTCTTTCTCTCACTCCTGCATGCTTCAGCTGCTTGCCCCAACAGTGAATCTTATCACCAATAA